CAGAGCCTCCATGTAGAAGCTGTGCCCACAGTCAATCCAGGAAGAGGGTGGAGCTAAGCTGTATCTTCTAAATAACATCCCTAAGCTCCTCCTTTCTCACACACCCCATCAGCCCTCGAAAGGTAAAAGGTAAAAGGTTAAAAAAGAATTCATCTGAATACTATATTGGAAGGCAAAGACAGGGGAAGGCTGTGGCCTTCATGCCCCTTCTGGGACATCTGATTGGCCACTGTGGGGTATAGATACTGGACGAATTGGCCATTGGTCTGATCCAGCAGGACTCATCTTACATTCTTAGGTTTCCAGCCTTGCAACATTCACTCATGAATCCCTCATGAAGAGGGCCTTAAGAACTGCTTTTCACTTCCTCCTCCTCCTAAGGTAGGAGGTATTGTAATAGATATAATAGATATAAGTGGAAACTCTTTGTAACCCCCCATTTTATGTCTTTTTTGTTTGTTTGTCTGATGTGTTTGTTGTAAAAATAAATATATATAAAGAACTGCTTTTTACTGTGCACCCAGCCAGTGTCGCTGCTCATTTTTAATGGTTAATTTTTGTAGCAGCACAATTACAAAATAACAACAATAAAAAAATGCAAAATGAGCAGTGCCTTTACTGGGTGCAAAGTGAAAAGCAGCTCTTGTCAAAGGAAACAAGAATTGGTAAGTTACTATTGTTTCGTGAGTGCCACCAGAAAAACAGGAAGGGCTAAATTAGAAAAGAGAAGGAAAGCATAAAGGAACAGTCGTGCTGAGACATACCTGCTACCTAGTGTGTTGTAGGTGCAACTACAGATAAAGCAACAACTATGCCATTCCTTGTAAATGTAAACAGACAGCCTGTTTAAATCCATTTCCGTTCAGGGCTCTTAAAGAACTCGGTGCATTCCCTGAAACTAAATCGCTCCATGGGGTAGAACATTCATTCAGCTTAAATGTACTCCCTTCCTATTTTTACACTGCATTAAGCATTCATGCATATGCTCAAACAGCATGTGAGGTTGGAAGATGCTTTTAGTGTCATGAGAAAAATGCCCAAAGATGGTTTCTCGAACAGTTAATAAAGCAGCCCAAATCTTGGAAAGATCATATCACCCATGACTGTGTTGACCTTCCGTAAAATGAGAGCCAGCCAACCGATGCAACTAATGAAAAGCGACATAATTGAGGGAAGACGTCCACTTGGCTAAACAAATCTGTGCTTGGTTCTTGGGATTCAGATTTGGAGACAGCTTTGCTGAGAGAGTTCCAGCGCCTGGATGATTATCTGAACACCCCGCTCCCAGAGGAAATAGACCAGGACAGCACGGAGGAAGTGGTGGTCTCTAGGAGGAAGTTCCTGGACGGGGACTGGATGACATTAGCTGATTGTAACCTGCTGCCCAAACTCAACATCATCAAGGTGAGCACCTGTGGTTGAGCACATGACAAAGGCCGCTTGCTCCCTACGAGCCTGTCCACACTTTGTGCCCTGAGATCCTCCCATGGGCTTGCCATCTTCATCAGACAGTATTCTTCTCGTGTGCAAGTGTTACCGGAACTCATGCCACCAGACAGATAGCACAGGAGCACTTCCTTCTTTAGAAAGGGTGCTACTAGGGTTGTCTGTACAGCAACAGCTAGGTCAGGGGAGAGCAGCCTTCATGTTTCTAGGAGCTACTGAATTTGTTCAATAGCCTAGCTTAGCCCAGGCTCTTCAGACTTTGGGAGCTAAACGGGGTCAGCCATGATTAGTACTTGGATGGGGCAGGGCTCTTTTTGTAGAAAAAGCCCAGCAGGAACTCATTAGCATAATAGGCCACACCCAACAGCAGGAACTCATTAGCCTATTAGGCCACACCCCTGACAGCACAGCTCATTAGCACATTAGGCCGCACCCCCATGTTACCAGAAGTGTGGTCATCCAGCCACACCCACCTTTTGCTTCTTATTCTGTTGACCTTGTTTGTTCTCAAAACCCAGGGCCTTTTTTTGTAGCAGGAACTCCTTTGCATGTTAGGCCACACACAGCTAATGTAGCCAATCCTAATGAGTTTCTGCTGTTGGGTGTGGCCTATTATGCTAATGAGTTCCTGCTGGGCGTGGCCAACTTGGGAGCCAGCCGTAACTCCGTTCCTGTACGTTCCTGCCCAAAAATAGCCCTGGATGGGAGACTACCAAGGAAGACGGGGGTAGCCATGCAGAGGAAGGCACCTCTGCTTGTCTCATTTCCTGGAACTTAAATTAAATTAGCCAGTGCGCCCCCCCCCCAAGGAATTGAAATGCCCCCCTGACTTATGAATTCCTGGCTACGGGACTGCCTGGCATACACAGGAACTGAGCTTCTATTCTGAGGAAATTAATCTCCATCCCTTGCTTCTCCGGATCTTCTCTCCCTCCCTCCTAGATCGCTGCGAAAACATACCGCAACTTTGAGATCCCACAGGAGATGGCAGCAGTCTGGCGCTACCTGCAGAACGCTTACGCTCGCGATGAGTTCAGCCACACGTGCCCAGCAGACGAAGAGATTGAACGCACCTACGCCAGCGTGGCCAAGAAGATGAGCTAAGGACGGGGTTCCAAGAGAGGCAGCCAAGGGGATGTCTGGACTTCCCAGCTCTCCATCCAAGCTGGAGGTTCTCATGAGGAAGCTGCTTTTGTCGCCTTGGCTTCAAGAGAGCCTCGTGGCCTGGTGGTCACTCCAGCGTACTAGACCTCAAGGAGTCCTTCGGCCTCTTTAGAGAACAGCCCTGCCTGTGGTTTCTGCTGTCCCACCTGTCTTCTTCCCACAAGTTGGCTGTATCTATGTATCCTGTATCTTGATGTGCATGTGTTATACATAGAAGAGATTGAACGCACCTACGCCAGCGTGGCCAAGAAGATGAGCTAAGGACGAGGTTCTCATGAGGAAGCTGCTTTTGTTGTCTTGGCTTCAAGAGAGCCTCCTGGCCTGGTGGTCACTCCAGCGTACTAGACCTCAAGGAGTCCTTTGGCCTCCTTAGAGAACAGCCCTGCCTGTGGTTTCTGCTGTCCCACCTGTCTTCTTCCCACAAGTTGGCTGTATCTATGTACCCTGTATCTTGATGTGCATGTGTTATACATACCACTTTGTGGAAACGTAAGCAGCTGACCGTTCCTTATTGTGAGTTGGAGATGCTTAAGGCTCTTTATACTCGATCGCACTGAGTTCCTCTCCAGGCCAGACCTCACCTCTCTGCTGCTGGGCCTGGGAACATAGATCTCCCATTTTCCACGCAGGCTGAGAAGTTCTTTTTCTCCCTGCTGGCTGTGTATGGACTGAATGCCTTGCCTTCCAGACTTCTAGCCTCCAGGAAAGGGTGGAACGCTCTCTGTTCTGCCTCCCCACCCCTCAAGCGTAGATTGACTGAGTCTGGTCTGCAGAATGATCCCAAGGCATGCGGCGGAGTTGACATTAAGCAACTGTGGACTGTAAAAAAAATCATCCGTGCACCGCATAGCTGTCACTCTGAGCTCTTCAGAGGACGTTGGAGCGTAAGCTAAGTAAACCAGGGAGCTGTGCCAGATCTACATGTCAATCACATCCAGGGAAACTCCCGATTTGCACTTCTGCCATTTGGAGGAAACAGGCATACAAGGGTCATTCCAAGTGTTTCCTCCCAAAGGGGCAATTAGCGACAGGAGCTGTTTGAAGATGGGGGGAGGAATGGTGATTTCCCCCCCTCCCAAGAAATGCACATGTAGTGGCCCCAGTTTGAATCAGGGCCCCGCCAAGGGTATCTGCAAATTGCAAAGCAGTCCTTGGTCTCCCATCAGGGCTCCACTTGCCAACCTACAGTAGAGAATGGAGAATGGTTTTCTAGACCAAGGAACCAGGTAGGGCAAATGCCACAATGAAGGATGTTTGGCAAGAGCCCCAGGAGAATCCATAAGTCTCATAGGGACTACTGAAGATGGTGGGAGGAACAGATCCTTTGCCATTCTACCGGGGTAGCCCTTGAAACAGGAGGGGCATTTTCTCCCAAGCAGCAACAGCGTCAGCTGGTTGCTTGCTAAATTCACATATTTCCCAGCACTGAGTGTTAATCCTCCCTGCAGCTAAGCTTTCACTGCAGACTCTGGGAACGCCCTCTTGGGGTGCCTGCCAGACATGGAGTTTTGCAAGGAGCAGCCCTTCCGCACTCCAGGGGTGGGACTCCACACAAGATGTTGCCTCATGCCAGGGCTGTTTGTTGCAAGTGTTACTGGAAGTCATTCCACCAGACAGATAGCACAGGAGCACTTCCTTCTTTAGAAAGGGAACGCCCCCGTGTAGCAATACAGAGAGGTGAGCAGGTGCAGGGCTGATAGTCCTTGGATTGGAACTTGGCAGGGATAAAATCAACCAGGGAAATGGCTTCCCCCCAGAACAGGGATGAGGCAACAGGGAAACACTCACCTGTTAAATGTTGGCTTGTGATCAGAAGTAAGCAGTGAACTCTGGCCCATAGCTAGGGTGTGGCTATTCAGGGCTCCGCCCCCTTCCTTAAAGGACCAGCCCCACAAGATTTCCACCACCACCCCGCTTCTTCTCAAAAGCATTTAAAGGATCTTTTGAGAAGAAGCGGAGGGGGGGGCAGTGTGTGCGTGCACTCCCCATTGATCAGCTGGCCCTTTAAATCGTGCAGGGAGAGAAAAATAACAGCAGCCCCACCAGAAATTTTTTTGCCTCACAAGCCACAAAATCCTGGCTACGGGCCTGATGCAGTGTTCCCTCTAAGCCGAGTTAGTGTGAGCTAGCTCACAGTTTTTTAGCCTCCAGCTCACCCATTTTTGTCCTGGCTCAGGCAGGAGGGCTCCAGAGCAAACTAGTTTATGCAGTAGCCAAATTGCTCGCTCACAAGTTTAATGCCAGTAGCTCACAAAGTAGAACTTTTGCTCACAAGGCTCTATAGCTTAGAGGGAGCATTGGCCGGAAGCTCCATTTTCTGCCCATTAACTGCCAGCTTCCTCACTGGCTCTGCCTTAAGCTACCAGGATCTATTCTGGCTCTGCAACCTCCCCTCCCCAGTGCCAGTATTTTTTCACATTAATAGGGATGGGATGGGATCCCATAAATAGGGATGGGATGAGTCATGCTTTATTAAAATGTACGCCCACAATGCACGGGGGAGAATGCTGGGAGAGTAACCACGATAGCCTGTTGCGGCAAAGGCAACAGGAGCCTTGGGCAATTAACAGTGTCTGTGACACAAAGCGCTTGTGAGTCATCGGTCTGCCTCTGCCGAAAGCGAGTTGCTGTGGCTCATTCAAAGTTGTGCCACAGCAAATGGGGTTGTCTTTGGCCATCGAGCAACGTTCTGTGGCTTTCTCCGAGGAGCTCTGAACTTCTCTCTGTTGCACTGAAAACAAAAGCCCGCTTTTTAATCACTTGTATGACTGTAACGATAATAAACTTTATTTTATGTACAACTTTCACAACTCGGCCTCAGTGTGTGCAAAGGAGGGCTGGCGGGCTGTGAGGAGCCTAGGCCTTTGTGGCAGGCTCCGTGCAGTAATGAGATCTAGTTTGCATGGACAGCAGATACGAGAATGAAACTTTTCCTGGATATCTACTGCTTTGTAGTGTAAATGGGGGAAATGATTAAAAAAAAAAGATTTCTGCACATAGAAACCCAGTATTTCAGGAACAGAAAAAAGGACACGTTTTCTCTGACATTTAGTAACAGGGAAGATACAGGCAGGAGCATTTCCCCGCAGCCTGAGATGGCATAATACAGAAGCAAGCATAACCAGCCAGTTTGGTGTAGTGGTTAAGTGTGTGGACTCTAATCTGGGAGAACCGGGTTTGATTCCCCACTCCTCCACTTGCACCTGCTGGTGTGACCTTGGGTCAGTCACAAGCTCTGGCACAGCTGTCCTTGACAAAGAGCAGTTTGTGTCAGAGTTCTCTCAGCCCCACCCACCTCACAGGGTGTCTGTTGTGGGGAGGGGAAGGGAAAGGAGTTTGTAAGC